CCCCCCCCCCGCAAAAAGTGGTCTTTTCAGCTGGAAGTTCAAGCAGTCACACGAGTACATTCCCCGAGACGCACCCTCTGCTTTGCTGGGCAACAGTAGGGCTTTGTACGGATTCTCTGCCGGTCGCAGACAACATTGGAAGACGGACCCTCCAGTGTGATGTTTTAAGAAAATGAGTAATTTTTACTATTTCATCAGTTCTCAAGTGATTACAAGAATGAAGCCAATGAAGCAATTCTTTCATTCTAGTTCTCTTTCCCTTCCCTTTTCGGCTTTCCCCATCAAGTGCTTGGTGGTGAAGCACACGAGGACCCTGTCTGTGTCTCTGCTGAGGCAGCAGCAATTTCATGCACCGTTCTTCTGCACCATCAGTGCACCTGTCACACGGTAAAATCGGAAAATAATGCCTTCGTGTTCCTCTGTGAGAGGCTGTGAGTGCCCCGGTTAACCACACTTTGAGAACCGCTGGCGTGGAGAAACTTTCTGTATGTATGTGGATGTTTATGATCCTAGCACCTTTTTGGAGAAACTTTCTATATGTACTAGAACCAACCTAAGTGACCATCACGAGGAGAGTGGGTCCATAGATTGCTGCGTATTTGAGCAGGGAACTGCAGTGTGGTGGTGACAGTGAATGAACTAGAGCCCCAACACCTAAAAAAGCAACATCAAGTAAAAAAGTAAGTTACACAGTGATGCTTACTGTGGGCCATTATTTTACAAAGCTAAAACCAAAATCATAAAGAGTTCCATGTTGTCATGAATATAAATCCATATATCAAATCCATATATATATATAGAGAGAGAGAGAAGGTTTAAAACATGTATTGAAATGCTAAATGTAATTGAGGGTGAGGATTGCTTCTGACCAAGAGGAGAGGAGGGAGGGTGCGTAGGGAGCTCCAGTTTTACCTCTAATAATTTACATTTAACACTCTGAAGCAAATCTGGTAAACCAGAGGTTTGATGGACCAAGGCGACGGGTGGCGTTAGTTCGTTCTGTTTTCTACTCCCTCGGCATGTTTTAAGCATTTGGTTATCCAATTTTCTTTCGAATGGGGACATTTCATAACATGAAAAGGTTTCATTAAACATGTTTCTTTCTTTTTTTTGCAGTTTTTGGCTGGGGCTGGGTTTGAACCTGCCACCTCCGGCCTATGGGCCAGCGCCCTACTCCTTTGAGCCACAGGGGCCACCAAAATGTTTCATTTTTTAAAGACAGACTTTCCCTTTTACTTTTATAAGAATCTTAGTGATAGATTGAATCCTCAATCTTAGTTATACAGATAGCCTAAATTTTTTAGTAACTTTTTATTTTGATATAAAAATTTGTCACTTTTAAGGAAAATACAAAGAATTCTGACATACCCGTTATGAGACTTCACCAATTGTTTATTTGATTGCCTCATTTGCTGTATCTTATTTGTCCTGTGTGCATACTGTTCTTTCTCTCTCCCTTTCTCTCCCTCTCTCTGCCCTCTCATGCCGTGCATATGTGCACACAACAGAGTAGCACACGTGCAAACACACACATGCACACACAGGAGTGCATGCATGCATGCAGACACGCACCCAAGGAGCACACAGGAGCACACATATGCACACACATGTGTGCACACACAAGGAACACAAGCACACAAGGAGCACTCACACAGGAGCACACACATGCATACACAGAAGCACACACAGGAGCACATGTGCAAACACACACATGCACACACAGGAGTGCACATGTGCGCATGTAGACACATGCAGACACATGCAGACAAAGAGCACACATATGCACACACAAAGAGCACAAGCACACAAGGAGCACTCACACAGAAGCACACACACAGGAGCACACACGCACGTGCCCAGGAGTACCCACATGCACACACAGGAGCACACACACAAACACACACAAACACACACATGCACACACACGCACACAAAGAGCACACATATGCACACACACGTGTGCATGCACAAGGAACACACGCACACAAGGAGCACCCACATGCACACACAGAAGCATACACGCAAACACACACATGCACATAGAGGAGCACACAGGAGCACACATGCACACACACACATGCACACATAGGAGCACACACAGGAGCACACACATGCACACACAGGAGCACACTCAGAAGCACACACACACACAAGAGCCCACACACACACTTTTGCTTGCACTTGGTTCTGATACACATTGCAGGACCTGACACTTTCTGTACAACGGTCTTATTGAATATGTATTTATTGGGGGAGGGGAAAGTTGTTGAGATGTAATTTATATAAATAAGTAGTTTCCAATGTAAATCATAATGTAAGCATAAAGTGTGAAGTTCCATTGTTTATTGATTATGATAAATAATGTCTAAAAATAAGGGGAAAAACAGGATAAAAGCCCACTTCAATCCCACCAGCCAGTAACATCTAATGCTATTTTATGCGTATGTGTATATAAACACATCTTATTTATCTGGAATAAAGTTCTATTTCCTACTTTATTAATTAGTAACAGGAGTAGTATTGTCTGGTTTAAAATGTACATAATCATTAGTAATAATATATCAGAATTATTTTTGATATTTCTCTTATAATTAGTATTGAGATGCAAAGAACAAGAAATCTTATTATTGAAATTATATTCTTTTTTTTCTTGTTTCTAATTTGAGATCCGTGTGACTCCAGGCAGTTTCTACGTGATACTGATAAGCGTATTCTCTACTAATTAATGTCATTTTTATTTTTAAAGTTAACACCCTTAGTAGTGTAAGATGATCATACTAATCAAACAAGGGAATTGTTTTCAAGTCAGTTTCCTGGTAAACAAAGTCTGTCTGTACCCTCACTTAGAGAATGGATTGCAGTTTTATGTTTTTTACTGCCCTGCCAATGTTTGGTGTGCAGAAAATAAAGTAGAAACTAGGTGCGGCCTTTCAGAACCTTGAGGAACTGCCAGGGAGTTTCAGAAGAGGTTTAATATCTAATTAGAACACAAACAGCCTGCGAACATCAGAAATCAGCTATCCAGAGAGCTAGCCCAGAGGCTTAACCACACTATTTTCTTCTTTGTGAAATTAAAACATATTGGCTTCAATATTTTCCAGTGTAAGGTATGCAGTTATGTCCCCAGCACACGGCGAATCTGCCACGTCCTCACATCCACTGTATGATGTGTGCGTGGTTTACTTTTGGTGGATCACTTCATCATTCAGAAATTAAAAAAATAATAATTTACATTGCTGTGGGTAAAAGTTAACACGGCTAGAAAGCGGCTTCACTTGTAGTAGTCTATAGCTGTAAAAATGTATAGTGTAGATAAAACCTTTGTTACATGCCATTTATAATCTCTTGCCTCACAAATACCTGAGCCCAAATTCTAAGTTTCTTTCTCCTCTCCCTGTTGAAAGGGAGATTAGTAGACAGAGAGGCACTAAAGGACTGTCCGTGCTGAAAGGAAACGGTCTCATTAATAATTCCAGGAAGATGGAGAGAGAATTGGGAAGTGAAAAAGTTGCCAACATCTGTTTGCGTGTTTACACCAGGACGGCCTCAGTACGTAGCTGGCGAAGGTCTTTCATGTCATGTCTGTGATACTCTCAAATTATCTTGTCAGCCTTAGGATATCGCTGGATGACATGTGCCCCACAGTTAGAAATGACTGTGTCATTGTTAAGAGAATAGGCACCTGTAATTTCCACGCTTAGGTGGCTGGTGGGGACTGAGAGAGAGAGCATGTGCCACGTGTCTGTACAGGGCCTGTATGTGAGGTGAGGGTGCAGTGGCTCCAAGCTGCTCATCATCCTTGTCACTTGGGTTTTCAGGGAGAATGCCATCAGCCTCTGCGGAGATCCAAGAGGAGATGGGTCATCACCACCTTGGAGCTGGAGGAGGAAGACCCAGGCCCCTTCCCCAAATTTGTTGGCGAGGTAAGTAGGGAACTGCCTTTTGAGGACAGACTCCCGTCACCCTCTCCGTGTCACGGTGCCCTTTGGGGTGAAGAATTAAATCTTGAAAGGACCTATGCTATGAGTCCAGGTGGTGAAGTGGAGTAGATAGAGCACCGGGCTGGGACTCAGGATGCCTGTGTTCTAGAACCTGACCCTCTTCTGCTGGAGCGTGGGACTCCTCCTTGTGAGTGTGTGATGAGAATCGCCAACAGCAAGATGCCAGTCAAATCCAACGTGCCGGCCTGGTTCACTTGGCCCATACAGATTCTTCATTAAAAACTTCATTGTTGGCTCGGCGCCTATAGCTCAACCGGCTAAGGCACCAGCCACGTACACCTAAGGTGGCGGGTTCGAATCCCCAGCCCGGACCCGCCAAACAACAATGACGGCTGCAACCAAAAAATAGCCGGGCGTTGTGGCGGGCGCCTGTGGTCCCAGCTACTTGGGAGGCGGAGGCAGGAGACTTGCTTGAGCCCAGGAGTTGGAGGTTGCTGTGAGCTGTAATGCCACGGCACTCTACCCAGGGAGACAGCTTGAGGCTCTGTCTCAAAAAAAAAAAAAAAAAAAAAAAACTTCATTGTTGAAAAATAGGAAGATTGTGTTTAAAATTCTGCCCTTCTAGAAGCTTTTAAAAAATTGGAAGTTCTGAGCACATGGCGTCCACATTCCTATGTGACAACAATATGCTGGGGCTTGAGTTACCGGGAATACCACAGTCTCCACCATTCCCTACTTCCCCCCTGGTACTGCTGAAGACACGTGATGACATTGGAATGCCACCGTCTTTATACTTGGCCCATGTTCCTTTCTGCTAACTCCTTGGCACCAGTGGGGCTTTGAATTGTGTACTGATTAAGTTCTCCTATAGCTGGGACATTCTGTGAGTTTTAGAAAAACATTACAAATATTTTGCATTTTTATCATATTTATAAAAAATAGTATATGCCTACTGTAAAAAAAAAACATAGAAGTTAGAGTTTTTAAGGCTTAGTGGTTAAAAGCACATACTCTCAAGGGTTGGGAGGACTGTGTGGGCTGGTGTCCCCACGGCACCAGGTCCTGACTGGGGGAGTTAGATCTCCTTCCTGTGCCTTCGTCGATGCAGTGGGTCAGTGACAGCACTTACATTATGGTGATGTCCTAAAGACTAAGTAGGGAGAGCAAGTAAGACAGAGGGAGCCGGCTCATTCCGAGCTGCTTCTGAGTGTTAGCGGTCGGGCGGTCGCTTCTCTTTCCGAGGGATAGTCACTGGTAACACACCGGTATGTATTCTTACAGGTATCTCTCTGCAGATTTGCTAATGTGAATCTGGACAAAGGCAGCGAGATCACGTCACGTGTATGGCTGCCACTTGCCCGTCTTGTCTAAGGCGGTGTCCTGCCCGCCTTCCCTGGCAGTGAAAATAAATCTCCAACGGCTGCAGAGTATATCGCATATGAGATGCAAGGAGTGTCCTTATATGATTTATTTCATGTTGATGGACATTGCTGCTATGTATTAATATAACAGAGTTTTTTTTAAAAAACTGGTTTCAGCCAGTACTGTTGTTTCTGCGTCTTTGCACACCTGTTCATCTCTTTCCTGTGTGTCCCCAGCGGGGCCCCTGTGGGCGTGATCCTCACCGCTGCCTTTGACCCTCAGCCTCGCTCATCACAGTGGTTTGTTCTCACCCATTTTTTTCTTTCTGTTTGTTCTTCTTCCAGCTGTTCAATAATATGTCTGAAAATATGACATTAATGTATTTAATCAGTGGACCCGGTGTGGATGAATATCCAGAGATTGGTTTGTTTTCTATAGAAGATCACAAGAATGGAAAAATATACGTTCACCGCTCTGTGGACCGAGAGACTACGCCATCTTTTCTGGTATTTATCCTTTGATGCATCTAAGCTTGTGTTTATTGGAAAGCTCCTGCAGGACGATTGTATTTGTGCAGGAGTATTTAGACTGATTATTTGCCAGATTCTGGTATCACTGAGGTGTGATGCACTGTGACAAACTTTAGAAGGATGCGTGGGGCAAAGATTAGCATTGTGGGGTCCTGGACCTTGGCTTTGCAATGTTCCTGAAGTCAAGACGATCTGCTCTAGACCCTTATTCTAATGACCAGTATCCCAACAGATCAGGATATCTGAAAGCATGTGGGGGTTGAGTCACAGTAGGTTGAGCCTACTTTGTAAAGTAGGGTAATCTAGTTTTTATGAATGACATTTGAACTATGGAGACTAACTATAAACAGACTGCCTGGGCTGCCCAATATCTCATGAATGAGGACTCACATACCTGCGGACAGTGTCCTATGTATAACCAGGTGTTCTTGGGGTTCATCACCCCAACACCACAACCTGTTATGAAGTTGAAATTCAGGTTCTAAGCCAGGAAGGGAAATTGTAAGTAAAAGTGTTCCCAGCATGCATGGAGGTATATCATGTTACACATCTAACCTTTACCAGGAGGTTTCAGATGGCCAGAGTTGGCTCTGTTTTGACTTCATGGGAATGGACTTAGTTCTCAGAGCAAGAAGAGATTGCTTGACATTTGAGAAAAGTAATTTGTGAAGTTTTCTCTGGTGGCTTCAAAGCATTATGAACACATGTAGTAAAATATACACCCTTAACTCATTGCTGGCTCTGAATCTCCAATTTTTAAACAGGCAGTTATTCTCCCAGAGCTTCGAAAGACATGCAGAGATGACTCTGTCTGGGTCTCCGGTATCCATGCAACTCTTGCCTCCCTTCTGTGCGGTGTTGTTAAAAAGAAGGAACATGGAATTGTCATAAGGGGGCCCAGAGAAGGTGCTACTCAGTCCTTAATGAGCAGACAGTCTCCTGGGATCTTGGTAAAATGCAGATTCTGTTTCAGCAGGTCAGGGGTGGAGCCGAGACCTGCATTTCTAACTGCCTCCCTGCTGATCCTGGGCTGCTTCTCCGTGTGGAGCGGGAGGAACTAGCAGTGGTCATGGTCCCTGCAGGGATGAGGCCAAACTCTCAGTGCTTGTTTTTTGTTGCTGTTGTTTGTTTGCTTTTAACATTTTAAATGATGCACTCACGGTTGGCACGCTCAATGTTTGATACAGGCCTTTGTGCCTAGCAGCTGAGGGTGCAGCATCCAAGTCTTTGAGTGTTTTCTGAAACGTACAGTTGAGATGGAAACACTTGGCACATCTCAGATAGATCCTAAGCACCCTTTAGAGCAGAAAGTGAAAGTATGAAAGAGAAACAAATAGATCCCCACTGGCCATGTTATGTCAAGATTTCAAGGGACTGTGCTTGGAGCTTCCTGGCTGAGCCAAATCCATGTCCCACACAAGGACCACAGATGTCCTGCATACCGAGATATGTAAATACCTGATACTTGGCCCTCTCATCACGAGGACCACAGTTGTCCTGCATCCTGAGTTACGTCATGATCGGATACTCGCCCCTCTCATCAGACTACAGACTTTTATGAGGGAAGATGCAGGGTGGGGTTCTGAGGCGCCTCCACCTTCCCCATCAGGCTCTGTCCCATCACCCTCTCATGTTTTCCTCCATGGTTCTCATTACCTGAAATGTGCGCTTGTGCATCTGTTTTTCTGTTGATAGTGAATCACCCTCACTGGAACGTTAATCTGAGAGGGGAGAGATCCTGCCTTATTCTTAACTCTGGGGAAAACCTGCCTTTTCCTGCAGTCAAGACCAGGGCTTGTTACCTAACAGTTCTCTGTCAGTTAGGTGGGAGGAATGAAGAGGTTAATACACGAGCACAGTGAGATGTGTTCTCTGCCCTCCAAGGGGTCATGAGCTGAATTATGTTTCCTGAAAAGATGTGTTTGAGTCTGAGCTCAAGTTCAAGTACTGGTGAATGTGACCTTATTTGGATCCAGGGCCTTTGCAGAAATAATCAGATTAAAATGAGGTCCTACTGGATTGGGGGGGACGCAGTGGACGACCCAGTGGACACAGGCAGACACAGAGCAGAATGCCATGTGGGGATGGCAGCAGAGACTGGGATGGTGCCAGGGAACGTCAGGTTTGCTGTGAACCACAGAAGGAAGCTGGGGGATGGGCGGGGACGGACTGTCCCTCGGAGCCTTCAGGAGGAAGGCTGATGCCCGATTTCAGTTCTAGCCTCTAGGACTGTGAGGGAACACGTTTCTTTGTAGGGCACCCAGTCTGCTACGGAAGCTGTAGGGAACTAGTGTCCTGTGAGTGTCCCAGGGACGTGCGTCCTAGCTTACCCATCTGTTTCTGTAGAAGAACATTCATTATTGGTTTTGGCAGTCCATCAAGACAGGGAATTATTAAAAATCAGGTGAACCTAATGTAGTGGCCAAAAAGCATCCTAGTAGCACCACTTTACTCATGAGGACTCAGAAGGAATCTCCAAAACTAGCCAAAACATTAAGTTGTGTTTGGGAGGGGGAGGGGAGAGGCTAACTTCTTATTCATTCCAGAAATTTATCAGAAAGCAGGTGAGAAGTCCTGTAAGATATGAGACAGAGTTGGAAAGGGAAAAAGTCAGATTTTATCTGCATAGGAGTCTTATCTATTAATGTTAAAATACGTTCACTTTTATAGGGTACAAATACATCTCAAAATTCATCCTTTTATATTCCTTGAAATAAGTGTTTCATTGTTTGTTACCCCCACACAGCCATTTGGCCACTTCCAACCTGGGCATTAAGTCATTCTGTAATTTGCTTTTGGCACCTGCAAAGCTTCCACCTGCTCATTTGTGTGTGAAACTCTGGATCTTCTGCCTGTAATTTCAAATAGCCATACGGTGATCCATCATGCAACCACACCATGGTTTGTTTACCCAAGGGTGTAAATCTTAAGGCCATAACAAAAGGCTGAAAACACTTTCCAAGTGCAGGAAATAGCCGTGACACTTCCCCTCTGCATTGTGATTCTAAGTCCCCCCAAATTCTCAGCATCTTGCCAAAGAATAAACAGCACTCATGCTTCTCAAGCATCTCACAGAGCTAAAGGTCTCAGATGTAGCTTTTAGGATAATAAATGGAATCCAAAATAATAAACATAAAACAAACTGCACTTCTTGCTGGTAAGTGGAAGGCTTGCAGCTGGCGCAGTCCGGGAGCAGAGAGTCAGGGTGATTAAGGGCAAAGAGTTGCTGGCACAGTCATAAATTATGGAGGAGAATGTAGAGATGGTGTGGGAGAGAGCCAATTTGCTTGCACAAAAATTTAAAAATGTATGTTAGAGTCCCCAAAGCAGACTAGTTCAGTAGCAGAAGGCCTGCAGCCTCCTTCCATCTCACTGTGGGGGAGGCGGGCCGCTGACCTGACTAGGCTTGGGATCAGCCTAGTGGGCCCTTGGGCAGAAGCGCACCAGTGAGCAGCACGTCTGCAGGGGGGGATGGAGGAGCTGCCCCCACAAGGTCATGCAGAGGAGAACCGGAGGGCTCCCGGAAAGGGGGCAGGAGGGGTGCTGAGCCAGCTGCTCCCCGGGAGGCCCCACTCTGAGCCCTGAGGAGCCAGACTTGAACCTGGGCTACTTGGCCTCCATGCAGAGGGCAGAGCAGTCATGTAGCCTGGGCATGGCGCAGAGCTGGACGCCAAGGGTGCCTCTCTCCAGGGCTTCTGCGGGGCTATAACGAGCCCACCTGTATCAAGGGCTGGGGCTCTGTGCCTTTTCCCAGTGTCTGGAGAAGCACCTGACCTGGACACGGTGGTCCTGGAGAATCAGGGGCCCCCCTGCTGAGAGGGCTCTGCCTGGGGTAAAACTTTCCCTCTCCCTTTTCTCTGTCATATATTTATTATATTTCTTTGTTATATTCCATTAAATAAGCAATAGTTTTTGTTTGACACGTAGGGACGGAATCTTTTTTTAATTAATGGACTTTGTGTTTTAGAGCAGGTTTAGATTCACAGAATGGAATGGAAAGTAGTTTCCCATTCACCACCACCCCAGCCCACTGTCCTCTGTCACTAGGACCTGGCAGTCCCGTGGAGCCTGCGGCGTTACAGCTGACGAGCCCACGTTTGGCATTAGTATTAAGTTAGGCACATACTGCACCTGAGGGCTGACTCTCGGTGTTATACTTAAGGGGTTTTGGCGGAGGTCCAGTGGCAGCCTTCCCTACAACAGGATCATGCACCGAAGTTTCCTTGCCCTGAAAATCCTCCTGCTCCCCTTGTTGTCCCCCCCACTCCCAACCCCTGGCAACCACTGAATGTGCACAGCTGGGATTACAGAGCGCGCGCCTTCCAGACTGGCTTTTCCACTTAGCAGTCTGCATGTAGGATCCCCATCTTTTCATCTTTGTCTACCAGTCCGTTGTCTGGTGTGCCTTAGCCAGTTCATCCACTCGCTTCCTGAAAGACCTCGTGCCGCTTCCACTTTTCAGCAATTACCAATAAAGCTGCTGTAAACATCGGTCGTCGTGCACACATACATTTTCAACACATTGCTGGATGGTATGGGACGAGCACATTTAGTTTTGAACGAAACCACCGGACTGTCTTCAAAAGTGGCGGCACCATTTACATTCCCACCAGGAATGAATGGGAGTCATTGTGCTTACTTTTTAGGTGTGAAATTAACGAAGGCCTCTGATAAAATTTTAAACAATAGAAAGATCTGTGAAATATTAATGGCAAATCTTGTCCTACCTTCCAACTTTTTGCTCCATTCACATTTCTCCGGGGGGGAACAAAGACCACAGAGAAGTTATGATATTCATTCTTCACTTACTAGATTTAATATCAAGTATTTCTTTTGTAACTTCTTGGACAGAGCAATGACACTAGAACCCTGAAGTACATTTACTCCTTCCACACTTGGTGTGTGTTTTACTTTTAAAAATGCATTTCAAGGGGTGGCGCCTATGGCTCAAAGGAGTAGGGCACTGGCCCCATATGCTGGAGGTGACGGGTTCCAACCCAGCCCTGGCCAGAAACTGGAAAAAAAAATCCTTTGCACTAAAAATGCATTTCAAAAATATACATATGGTAAAATTTATATCTCTCCCCAACACCTTTAGCCTGGAAACTACTGATCTCTTCTCCTTCCACAACTTTTTCCTTTGTTTGGGGTGTCACAGAGATGGAATCGGACAGTATGTCACTTTTCAAGTCTGGATTTGATATTCATCCGTGCTCTTGCGTACATCACACGTTTATTTCATGTTATTGCTGATTAGCAAACTGAACAACACTTGGGTTCTTTTCTGGTTTTGCTGATCGTAACAAAGCCGCCATAAACATAAATTTTACGTGAACATCAAGTTTTGTTTTTTTAGGTAAATAACTAGGAGTGACTTTGATGGATCACATAAGTGTATGTTTAGCTTTATAAGAAATTCCTGAACTATTCTTCAGTGGGGCCCAACTGTTTGGTGTTTTCACTAGGAATGTATGAGAGTTCCAATTGTTCTGAGTCTTTGGCAACACGGAGCAATGGTCAGGTGTTTTTCACGTTAGCCATTTCAATAGGTAGGGAGTGGTGCTCATTGTGGTTTTAATTTTGATTTCTCTAATGACAAATGATGGATTATCTGTTGTCTGTCTGTCTTCCATGGAGAAGTGTCTGTTCAAATCGTTGCCCATTTGAAAATTGCATTGTTTGTTTTTTTGAGTTTTGTATCCAAATCATTTGTCAGCATATGATATGCGAATATTTTCTCCCAGCCAACGGCTTTGTCTTTTCAATTTTTCTTTTTAATAATAACTGTTCTTTGCAGAGCAAAAGTTTTATGTATTGAAGAGGTCTAATTGGTATTTTTTCTTCTGGATCGTGTTTTTGGTGTCATATCTATCATCATGGGGATTTTCTCATTGTTACTGCTAGAATTTTCACACTCTTATGCTTTATGTTAAGATCTATGGTCCATTTTGAGTAATAATTGTTGTCTAAGGTGTGAGATGTAAAGCCAAAGTTTCTTTTTTGGCTTACGGACATCCAATTGTTGCAGCACCATTTGTCGAGAAGACAGTTCTTTCTCCACTGAATTGCCTTTGTACCTTTCTCAATAGTCAATAAACTGTATTTTGTGAGCTTATTTCTGCACTCTTTACTTTGTTCCATGGCTATGTATTCATTTTTTCACCAATGCTATGCTCTCTGGATTATTTTCTTTATAACAAATCTTGAGATTACATAGTGTGAGTCTTCTTCTTCTTTTTAAAAGTATTTTGGGTATTCAAATCTCTTTGCCTTTCCATATAAATTTCTAGGTCAGACTGTTGACATCCCTAAAAATTTCTGCTAGCTTTTTGATTTGGCTTGCACTGACTTTATAGGTCAGTTTGGGAGGAGGTGTTATGGTGGCAACCTTGAGTCATTAAGTCCATAAACACAGTGTATCTTTGCATTCAATTAGGTCTTCTTTAATTTATTTCATCAGTGTTATATATGTTTTTAGTAAACAGATCCTGCATATATTTTATATTTGTAAATGGCCCTGTTTTTAAAATTTTGGTTTCTGATTATGCATTGCTGGTTTATAGAAATGTAATTGATTTTTACATATTAATGTTCTATCATATGGCATTGTTAGAACTGATTTCACATTCTCAGGATAATCTCCATTTGCTCGTCTTGTACTAATTTTTATGTATTTCTTGCTATTATTTGATAATATTTGTTGAAAACTTTTGAGTTTAAGTTTATGAAGAATATTGTTCTATAGCCTTATAATTTTTAAAAATATGACTTGGCATTATGATAATGTTAGTCTCATGCAATAAAGAGGGAAGTGTTCCTTCTTTCTATATTTTCTGGAAGAGACTGTTGAATTGGTATTACTTCTTCCTCATGTTTTGCTAGAATTTGACAGATTCCAGTCACCTGGGCCTGGAGCTTTTTGTTTTTATTTCATGAAGATTTTAAACTACAAATTCCATTTCTTTAATAGACATGGGACTATTCAGGTTACCTATTTCTTCTCTGGAGAGTTTTTGTAGTTTTTCTTTCTTGAGAATTTGGTCCATTTCATTTAAGTTGTTGAATACATCGGCATAAACTAGGCCACACTGCTCCTTATTACTCTGTTAGCACTGCAGGGGCTGCAGGCAGGCCCTTCTTTCCCCCTCAACAGTGACGTCCCCTGCCACTCATCACTCTTTCTAGATCCTTTTAACCAATCCTTTCTAAGGACCAGTTCTAGATCCATTTAACCAATCATTACTAAGGACCAGTTCTAGATCCATTTAACCAATCATTTCTAAGGACCAGCTCTAGATCCATTTAACCAATCATTTCTAAGGACCAG